AATGAGGCATTTGATCGTAAAAGATGGAGGAAGAAGATTTTTGTGGATGACTATACGGAATAATCACTTTTGGTTCATATATGTAGCCGACTCCACTTATGAAATTAAGGCATTGATATGATACTCACCTGCTATTCTGCTATATGTGATTAATTGTGTTGAAGCCAAGGAATAATACAAGTGCAAGCCATGATCTAAGGGATCATTTGGTATATATACTAAAACGAATTGAAATGAATTGGTATACATGGAAACTCTTCATACCTTAAGTAGAGGAAAGGAGTCAATCAAGATCCTATTCATCAAAACCATGCATTGTCGAGCTTAAATTAGACATAAATCCAAATCAATAATTTTCTTCACTAACAGAAGTACGCATACATGACTACATGTCTGCATGAGAGGGAACCCTAGGATCAACAAACCTTGGAGATTGATTTATATACCGACAATGCAACCTTATTAAGGTTACCATGATGAAAAGAATTTTTCATATCCAATTGAGGAATTGACCATTTTCAAGCCCGAGTCAAACCGAGGAATGCAACCTTATTAAGGTTACCATGATGAAAAGGATTATTAACATTTTTTAATCCCAACTTTCACCAATTTAGTTTCATTAATCCCAATTTTGGATTATTCCTCAATAATCCCAACTTTAAGGTGGCCTATCATTCTTCATACCCAAACCGGTCAACAAAAGTCAACAACCTTCTATTGTAAGTTGCTGGACACGTGTTGCCACATGAGTGGTCCTTTTTTTTTTTGACTGAACCAAATTTTTCTTAAAAAAACAAAAAAAATAATTTTTTTTTTTTTTTTTAATTTTATCTCCCCCTTCCCCTTTAACAGCCCCTCCCCCTCCACCTCCATTAATGGCAGCCAGCCAGCCACCATCCCCTCCATTTTCGATAGTCCCCCCATCCCCTCCATTTCCAGCAACCCTTCTTCCCCTCCGTTTCCGGCCACCCTTCCACTTCCCCTTGAAAAGCGAAAAGGGGATTGTGAGATTGAGTTTGAAAACTCAGATTTAATGCAAAATTGGGGGTAACGAGAGGTGAATTGAAGGGGATTTCGACTGGTGGAGTGGGTTTGTGGTGGCTTTGCGGGGTGGGTGGGATGGGTTTCAATGGTTGGTTCGCTGGTTGTATGGTGGTTGCGATGGTTGTGGTTGTTGCTTGCGGTTGTTGTTGGTGGTGCAGTGGGTAGTGGTGGTGGTGCAATGGGTGGTAATCATGGTTCGGTGAAGCTTCTTAATTATTTCTTAATCACATGCCCGTACTCTCGCTAATTAACTTCTTCAATTTTTGGGGCTGGTGGTTTTTGGGGTTTGGTTGGTGGCGTGGGAGTTTCGGTGAAGGGGGATGGTGGTTTGGCTCGGAGCGGCGCCTCTAGTGGTGGGGAGGGCCGGCGGTTGATTGGTGGTGGTTGCCATGGCAGCTAATAGCCATGGATGAACAACAAAGGGGAGGAGTGAGAAAATGGGACTTTGGGTTTTTTTTTTAATTAATTTATTTTTATTTTGATAAACCAATTAACATGCAACACGTGTCAAATAAATGGTTTTAATTTTTTTTAACCCTTTCTTCAAGTAACCGGTAATCCAGATCAAAGAATGAAAATGCACCTTAAAGTTGGGATTATTGCGGAATAATCGAAAGTTGAGATTAATAAAAATAAATTGGTGAAAGTTGGGATTAAAAAATGTTATTAATCCAATATTAAATGAATACTCCCTTCCTTTTTTTTTTTAATCTAAAATGCAACAGTTTGACTTTTGCAAAATTCACATATAAAACTACAATATATGCTAGCATGTACTCTGTAATATGGTGTTGAGTTAGTGATTCAAAACTAGTGCTTAGCTATTTTTTAGGTGAATTTGTTTATTGTTGATAAGTTGGAGTTTTTTTAGGAGTTAGTGGTTAGTGGCTAATTAATTACGTGGGAAGTTAGTCATTGTTACGGTTAGTGGAGTCATACATAGTGGGTCAGTTAATTTGATAAGATCATGCTCCTAATTATTAGCTTTAGGTTGTTATCTCGTATGCTATTTATATTCATGCATCTTTATATTTTTTTAGGAGTGTAGAGTAGTGTGTGCAAGTTAATAAAATTGGTTTTGTTTCTCGTTATAATTTCAACATGGTATTAAGAGTTTCATGTTAGATCTTGGGATAAACCAAAAAGAGAAGGGAGAGAGATGAAGAGAAAAAAAAAATAAAGAAAAAAAAGAGAGAGAGAGAAAGAGAGTATTAAAAAAAAATTGAGTAAGAGAGACAAGCAACGCAGCTTGATCTCATTGTTTGTGAGCAATATTATTGTTTTTTTTCGAGTGAAATTTTTTTTGTGAGTGTTTTTGTGTTTAACCATGGAAGTAATGGTTGGTTTGGTATGTTGATGGGTTCCCTTTTAGCCCATGAAATGGATTTTAATCTTGTGAAAAAAAGGGTGAAACATTGTTTGAGGTAAAGATCGCATAATCTTTACGAGTGTGGAAGTCGTAATCAACGCAGAGACAGTTTCCAAGATAATACCAAAGATTTTTGGTACAAGCAAGTTGACATGGTCAATTGGAGGACAATGTCAAAGAGAGTTAATGGAGAGATGTGCTCCATTAAATGTAAGATGGTGAAAATTTTCATCAACAAGATTGAGTAGTTGATGAGAAGTGCATCAACAAAAAATGTCGAGATTTGGTTGTGCGGAAAGAAGTGCTCCGAGAATATCATGTTGGTGATAATGTGCATCAACCAATTATGTGTAGGTGATGAGATGTGCATCACACATTAAAACATCTAGCAAGATGTTGTAAATTTGAAGAGGAAGATTGCAGGCTCGTCTAAAGTCGAGTGTGAGGTTACGTGTTCGTGGATGATTTAATTTAAAAGTATGTCGAGTTCAATTTGAAGTCCGTCGTTGCAAGTCGATGAAGTTAGCAGCTAAGTTTGTCAATTGTGTGTAATTTTGAATCAAGGGGGGAGTGTTGAGTTAGTGATTCAAAACTAGTGCTTAGCTATTTTTTAGGTGAATAGTTTGTTTAGTGTTGATAAGTTAGAGTTTTTTTAGGAGTAAGTGGCTATTTACGTGGGAGGTTAGTCATTGTTACGGTTAGTGGAGTCATGCATAGTGGGTCAGTTAGTTTGATAAGATCATGCTCCTAATTATTAGCTTTAGGTTGTTATCTCGTATGCTATTTATATTCATGCATCTTTGTATTTTTTTAGGAGTGTAGAGCAGTGTGTGCAAGCTAATAAAATCAGTTTTAATTTTGTTTCTTGTTATAATTTCAACATATGGTGTATGTTGGATTAACCGAGAGATATATTTTTAAACTAATTTACATTTAAACACATTAATTGTCAAATTCGTGTCTCGGCTAATGTGCTGGTCAAATTATTGCATTTAAACATCTCATAAACAATCAATGTCACCCTAATATATTACTTTCGACCATACCATTTGGTCACAAGCCTTTCTTCATGGCTCTCAAGATCATCTTCAAACATGATAAATGCTTAAACGACTGCATGTAACTGATAATATTCAACCCTATAGGCATGTCATCACCAAGTCTCATATCCCAAACGATCATTTGGTTAGCTACAATGTGTTAAATCACACCAATTACATGATTATTTATCTTTGTTGGGTAAAATCTTTATAACGAGCTTTATTTATTACTAAATTAACTTTAAATAAGAGATAGAGCAATACATTCGTCACATAAAAAATAACCAATATAATACTCCCTCCGTCCTATAATATAATTCCTGTTTTTCTATTTTGGAGATCCAAAATGTTGTTCATGTTTTTATTTTTGGATAGTATATAAAGACCATTATACCTTCATTTTTTTAACTTTATTCATCCTACTTCTTAAGTTACCATTGAATTTTGCACATGCTTTGTACTTTTTCCAATTTTCTCTCTCTAACATTTGTCTATAATAGTACTTTTCACTTTTATTAATGTATTTCTTCCACTTTCTCCTCCTATTTGTTAAATACCGTGAAAAAATACAAATAGAAACTATATTATGGGACGGAGGAAGTATATATAGAACGCTTTGCTATTCTAGTATATGGCCTGTATATCAATCAAAATCAACTCAAGAAAAAGAGGTCGAAGGTATATATCTTGGATTACCTTCCTAAATTAAGATGGTACGAAGTATGTATTACTAGCACTTCATTTTACGTAAATAAAAGACACGAATAATTGATGGGGAAAAAATGTTAATAGCATGAAAATCGACGCCAGTAGTTGGACAGATAGGAGATAAAGCTTGCTAGCTAGAGAAACATTCCTATTACTAGACCTGTCAAGTGTCAACTCCATCAGTCAGGTAAGTTTGGGGTACAACGAATTCGAGTTTTTCTGTTTTACTCCCTCTATTTTTTTTTAAAAGCTAGATTATTCATATGTCATTATTGACTTAATTTTTTTATCAATATATATATATAAATATGATCAAATAATATGTTATTGGATTTGTCATAATGTCTACTTTTAATAAAACCACCCCTTTGAGCCTTTTATAAATTATTTTTTCATAATTTTTACTAATCTCTAATTAAAGACATTGATGATCAAAGTTGTGTATCGGCAAATGTGCAAATCCAACTATACCTTTAAAAAAACAAAGGGAGTAATTCCAAATATTATTTTCATATAAATCTCAAATTCACTACTAGTATTTCCTATTAATTTTTAAAAAATTGGAAATAATAATCTCAACTTTAGGCTGGTTTGTTTTAAATAACTCCAACTTTATATTATTCTTAAATAATCCGAACTTCAAGATTCATTCGCTTTCTTTAGTCCCAACCGGTCACCAATTTATTATAATAGATTACTTGGACAAGTGTCAATACCTAGTTGGGTACAAAAAAAAAAAAAAAAAAAAAAACCCTAACCCAACCACCACCGCTACCCTTACCAAGCCTCCACCCATCCCCACATCTACCACCACTGGTCACCCCTATCCCCACCTATGATGCACGGACACGCCTGCCAAGTGGCGTGTCCGAGTCGACACGCGTGTCGGACACGGACACGCGTGGGACACGGGGGGATACGTCTTGGACACGCGAAAATCCGTGTCCGTTTTTTTTTTTGAATTTCTTCTGTACGGACACGGTCCGTTTTGTGATGGACACGCAATTACGGCTTTACAAGCCCAACTTCCTCCATTCTCTCTGACTCTCTCACATTCTCAATTCCTCCATTCACAATTCACAAACCTACTGCCTTACTCAAGCTCCCTGAGTCCCAGACCGTCAGCCACTCACCGTCGCGCCAATAACCGTCGTCGCTTCACCTGCTGCTGCTGGTCCAGACCGTCACTCAGTTCACCATCGCTTCGTCGCCTACAGCCTACTCTCACAGAGACACAGACTTCACTCGCCGCTCGTTGTTCGTCCTCAGCCACCACCCCAGTGTCGCCAGCCACCAGTCCACCAGACCACCACCAGGTAACTCGCTCAACCTAGGTTTCAGGCCGTGGCTTGACTGGCTTCTGTACTTTGTTTTTTTTTTAAATTCAATTAATTCAGTCGCTAACTCGCTCAACCTAGGTTTCAGGCTGTCGTTGTTCGTCCTCAGCCACCAGTCCACCACCCAGTACCGTCCATCGCCACTCGCCAGCCACCAGTCCACCACCAGGTAAGGGTTATGTGACTTCTGTCTTCTGTACTTTGTTTTCTGAAATTCAATTGCTGAATGCTGATGTTAATTGTGAGGTGGAGCCGTGGAGGCAGTATCACTGTAATTCGCAATTGTTAATTGTTAAATGTGATGTTAATTGTTAATTGTGATGTTAATTGTGAGATGGGTTCAGCTGTCAAATTGTATTGTGCCCTGGTTGCTGAAATTGTATTGTATTGTTGACTCGCTGACTTGCTGGTTGCTGAAATGGAGAATATGATTTTTGATGATGTACTTGGTGATGGTGAAGAATGAAACTATTAGTACTTTTGTTTATTTTATTTATGATTTGTAAAACTATTATTAAGACATGTATTTGGTTTGATGGTTTCTTGATATGTATGAGATTACGTTCGTACACTTTGTTTATTTACTTGTTTTAACAAAATTGTGTGTTTTGAGGCTAATTATTTAGTGTTTTATTGAATAGGTTGTCAAATTCTCGTTTTTTTGATATATTATATGCCTTGTTATATGCCGTACCCGTGTCCCCTATTTCAGGATTGCCGTTTTCCCGTGTCCGTATCGTGTCCGTGTCCGTGTCCGTGTCGGTACCCGTGCAACATAGATCCCCACATTACAGCTACCATAGTTGCCACCCCACTACTGAAAACCTTCCCCCTTCCCTGCCCCACCACCAAAACCACCCTCCTCATCCTCCCCTGCCATCGAAAAACCCCCTCTCGATAACTTACCCCACCATCGAAAATCACCCCCTCTCCATCTCCCCATTGAAAACCCCTTTTTTCTTTTCCCAAACCACCGTAAACCACCCCATCCCCTCCCCTATCACCGAAAACCCCTCCTCTTAGTTACCCACCACCAAAAACCACCTCCTTCCCTTTCCCACCACTAAAACCCCTTCTTTTTCCCTCCACCACCACTGAAAACCCATCGTTTTCCCTCCCCCACCACCGAAAACCTTGTTTGTGCTGGTTTGGGGGGCATTCAAAGGTGGTATTGGTGGTCATAAGAAAAAAAGAGTTTTAACAAAATAATTACCCTTTCCTCAGGTTATCGGTCGTATGGGACCAAAGAAAGAGAACAACTCTAAAATTTTAGATCATTTAAAAATATTCCAAATTTAGGATTATTTAAAGCGTGAATGACTAAAATTGGAATTATTTTTACCAATTTTTCCTTAGATTTTTTTTAGCAAAACTTTTTAAATACGTTTATAAATACATTTATCATATTAAAAGTAATCAATATTTGTTGGAAAATTAGTAATTGTAAAAATGTATTGATGTGTAGTTTATTCAAAAATGAAAAAAAAAATACTAAGTATGAGAAGAGAACGAAATAATTTCTGATTTGTTCTTGGCATTTTAATAAATAAGTTGTATTGAAATTTGTGCCTACTAATTTAAAAATATATATATTACTATTGTTTGTGGCGGGTGAGATATATAGATTTTTGCTTTTAACGGCCATTTCTTCCTCCCTCTTCCTTGTCCTTGTTCATCTTCTTCTTCCTCCTTTTTACTTCCACCCACTTTAGCTTCATCTTATTCTTCCTCCGATCCTTACTTTCCACCTTCATCTTCTTTTTCACTGCTTCAATTTTGCCACCACAAACCCCTTTCTAGAGGCGATTTAAAGACAAAATTCCTAAGAACAAATAAAGAAATAAAGGGCATAGTTAACCCCAAAGGGTAGATGAGGATTCCCTCCTCCGTTGATTCCGTTGCTTCTTTGTTTTGCTCTATTTTAATTTGCGAATGTTAAATATGCCTTGAATCTGATTTCGGGTCTTAGGAGCAGCGAGCTATAGCTCGTGAGGTAGCTTAGTTGTTCATAGGCAAATTTAGAGTTGTTGCGACAAAATTAAATTAGAGCTATAGCTCCTATGCGAGTGAGCTATAGCTCACGAAGGATAGTAGATGCGCAAGGGGTAAGTGAGAGCTCGCTCGATAGCTCGTGGAGGATAGAAGGCGCGCTGGGGTGAGTGATAGCTCGGCCAGGGGCCGAGCGAGAGCTCGCTCAATATCGAGCGAGAGCTCGTCGCGTCAGGTTTGCACATGGGGCCTTATTTCCTCATTTAAGGAATTCTTTTGTTTTTTATCCTAACCTAGGGGGTTATTATAAAAAATCCTAGGTTATTTCCTAGCCTCTATAATCATTAGTGGAGTGATTATTTAGAAATTTGAGAGTCTTTTGTTTATTTCTCATTTGTGAGTTATGAGAAAGATACCATTAGAAATCCGAGATATAATCAATTTGTTTTCTGTGATTGATCTCATATCTATTCTGAATCTGTAATCTGCTTTCCCCAAGATCAATAAAACTATTACTCTCGCATGCTCGTGGACATAGCCAATGCATTGTTGGTGAATCATGTAAATTTATGTCTGTTTTTCTTATTAATTTTACATTCAATGTTTGTCTTTTCTTGCATCTGTTACGTTATAACATTAATGACGGAGGTTATTCGATGCCGTTATGAAGAGGCGCATACCAGCGACCCACCATTAAAATTGAAGGTTGAAGGAGGAGAAAGAAAGTAAGGTGAAAATTAGGCTCCACCATTAAAATTGAAGGTTGAAGCAGGAGAGTAAGGTGAAAAGTAGGCGAAGAGAGAAAAAGTAAGAGGAGAGTAGAGTGAGGTGGCTGTAAAATAATGCCGGTTTAATTACACCAAGCTAACTGTCAATTACATAAATTTACCTTGATAATCATTTTATAATGTTAGAAAGTTAAATTTTCTCTTTACTTGTTACATTTTTCTTTAGTATGTGATGTCTTAATATTCGTTATTAATTTATTTTTATGAATTTTTTCTATAATTTTGATTTTGAATTTGATCTTATATTAAGTTATCCATTATTTTTAGTTTATTGTGGTGTCCATTTTACATCTTTTAGTTCCCTCCTTATAATACATGTCAAAAAAAAACATGTTGTGATTATTAAAAAACGTAAGAAGCACTCTACATAGGAACTCAATTATTGTTACAATATATAGCACAGGAACTCCATTGTTACAATAAATAAACCTCTACATACCCTCGTAATTGCTATACGTACGATTAGTCGCATATTCCACACTATACATGTTTTCGACACCTTATTTAATTTCTTGCGAAACAAATTATTCTTTCCATCTAAAAAAAAAACTTAGCACCATCAATTACTTGCAATGGAAATTGTAATAAGATTAATTAGCTCGTATGTCCTACGCACCAAATTAAAGGAAAAAAATAATTATTATTCATATGTAAATAGAAGAAAGTGCGTTAGGCGCCTGCAATTTGCATTAGAGATATGTAATGTGACAAGATTCTTACTTATCTACTCTTCATTTTCAATATTCCATGCACAAAATTTAATTGTTTTTGACGCTTTCTTCAACTAATTTTAAATAAAATTTTAAGCTCTTATTATATAGCCAATTAAGTTATAAAATAAAAAATAATTCATGTACCTTTCTCATGAATGTTACTATATATTTTGATAGCTTTATCTTATAACTTTATGAAATAGGCGTATAATAGTTGTTCTTTTTCTCTTTAGTTCTTAAACTGTGGCCTTTTATAAAAATTGTACCCTCATCATTGCAATACGATCGATTAAGCATCTTCCAGCTGCTCTTTTTCTTTAATTACTTTAAGCTTTAAACCATTACTTGATCGAACTACTTAAGCAATCCCGCGGCTTTAAACTTCTTTTTTTCGTCGGTTTTGAAGATTTCTTGTGTATAGGAAAAGAAATAATGTTCGTATTTACCATTTAAAAAAAAAAATATACGGAGTATTGAGCTAGAATTGTAACATATATACACTCTAAATGAATTCAGGGTGCATTTTATTTAAGTAATTTTAATTAATCAGATTGTACTTGTAAATTGAAGTTGAGTAGCCTTTAATTTATTAACCCTTATAATAATTTATACAAAGTATATACTTACATTTCTTAAACTTAAGTTATTTTAATTTAATTTTCTTGATATATTAAAACTAAGGTCAGCAAAGTAGAGTTTTAGTTAAGATTTTCCATTTTTTTTCATCTATACTTGGGATGTATTTGGCAAGACTAGTTAATTGGAGATGTAAAAATTGATGGGGTGCCACTTAAGTAATTTGATAGATAGTTTCTCTTATGAAATGTTAGTAGAACTAGCTCATTATGAATGTATTTGTAATTGATGCTTACTTATCAAGCAAGACTAAAAGAAATTCAGATGTACGAGACTATGGGGTTTGAATCTTATCAAATAAGGATGCTTGGGATAAATATTCTATTACCCTTATTTTTCTTACTCTTGATTTCTTGAATATATGTCTAGCATATATTGTACCAAGAAACCATGAGAGTTAGTTGATTCTAAGTCATTAAAGATTTCAATCATGGGCCTAGCAATATACACCGTACTTCGGTACTTGTCAATAATTTTTTTTTAAAAAAATTGCCCATTTTACAAGACCATTCCCAAAATCATATAGCAATGAAAAGAGTACCTCCTTAGTCTTATTATAAAGTTTTTTAACTCTTTTTTTTTTATCAATTATAAGTTATTACGAGGGTATTGTGCTACATGCAACTCTTAAGATGCATCAGAGATCCGACGCAACCTTGTACACTTTAATTCGGCATAATTCATACGAAATATAGTCTATCATAAACCACAATCTGGCCGCATGAATGTAGAAGTGCCAAAATCATCACCATGAAAATAAGTATAAAGGGCTAAAGGCCATAGCATTATACATTATAAAAACAAATAAAAATTATAAAGTATGGTGTTGGAAATGCACAAAGTAAAGATTTAAGGTATGATCCATAACGTAAGCATTGTGCAAAGGCGAGGCAACTTTTTTGGACTAACTTTATTTTGGAAGGGAAAAGCAAAATCTTCCCTAAGAAAAATCAAAAAAGATAGAGCACTTCTTTTTATGGTTAATGTGGTTTTAGTGAAAACTAATAATTATTTTCTTAAGAAATATTTCGTATAAAATAATTTAACAAAGAAAGAAAAGAAAGAATAACTTTTACTCACTTTGATTTTCGTAACCCCAAACATTCTCTCACCTTCGGAAAGCATGGAAGAAAAGTTATGGTATATATGAAAGGGAGTTTCAAGTTAAAATAATTGAAGGGGTAAAAGTTAGAATAAATTTGACAAAGACGCACATAATCAAGCAT